GTAGAATGGAAAGCAAGCCTGCATATTCTTCACGATGGCAACACGCCTAGAGGCCTCTTCACCAGCCCAGCAGATTGTCACAAGAGAGCGCACAGAATAAAGAAGGTCCATGGTATGCTTCCTACACTCACTTATATGAGGCAGTGGTGACCGGACCTGTATGAGACTGACATCTGCAGGATGTGTGAACAGGAGCAGGAGGACATAGAACACCTCTGGCAATGTCCCATGACACTGGACGAGCAATTGAAAGGTTGGAAGCAGGCCATAGAACTCATCACGAAGGATGGCAAAAGAGCATTAGTGAAGGAGAAGAAGCTCTGGGAAGACAAACAAGGGAAAACACAGGAGCCAAACCTGAATAAAGGAGGTCCCTCGTTTACACCTGTAGCCGACAACGTGATTTGGGGCTCTTTGGAAGCGATGTTCAAGGGCGTCAGAGAGATTCGACATGCAAGCGCTCTGTTTGGTGAGGAAGATGTGGATATGGGGCGGAGGAACGAGGGTGAGGATGCCCACTGGACTGTCCAAGACTTGTACCACGGTTTGGTGCCGAAGGAGCTGATACAAAAATGGAAGACGATCTTCAGAACCACAGCATCGATCTCAAGGTACATTGTTTGCCGCTTTGTCAAGTCAATCGAGGAACTCGGCAGGACTGAGATCTGGAACAGACGCTGCAAAGTCACCGTCAACTGGGAAAGAGACAATGGTATCACCTCTGTGAGCAAACGCGCCAGGGGACGCAACTGTGTTGGGAGGCACAGACGTAGCAGAGGTGAATTCTTTGGCTCTCACCAGGGACAACGACGAACAGCAGATGTGAAGGCGATCAGGACTGAGGCAGACCGGCGAGTGGCGGCAAGCTACCGGCAACAGGTGGAATTGGCGATTATGGAGCGCCTGGAAAGCTGTAAATTTTTGATGATTGAGGACAGCGGCTAAAGGATGACCTTCGCGCACAACAGGCCAAGTAGGGACTAGAGCCGTGCCACAGGTCCTCTGGGACCAAGGAAGTCTACTCAATGCTGACGTGGTTTATGAACAGGATGTAGTACTGTGGCAGTATGACGATGCGGCTTCGGTCGATTATTGGATACCGCTTTATTTGCGACCCCAGTAATGGGGCAACCCATTTATAGAGCTAACATCTAAATAAATCCTACATGACCTCGTGGGTCCTTGTTATCAAAAAAAAAAAAAAAAAAAAAAGAAAAAAAACTGTCTAGCCCAGGGACCGGGTTCGAGTCCTGGTTAAGGCACATAAAGTGAAGCAAACATGTGCCAGGTCAGGGATTTGTCTGAGTTTTTATACTTTCTCTTCGAGACAGCCTAGTGTTCTCCGCTAAGGCTAAGATCGTGGGTGCACTACCCTAAGCCGCCTGGCTGGCCACACGTCTTAGTTATATATTCCGCCCCCCAGCCGCACCAGCGGTACATCTGGCAGCATCCCCCATCCACCCACTTGACTAGGACAGCGATGATCACAAAAAGTTTGACGGAGTCCAAAGTAGAAATTTCAGACAATCCCGCAAGATTTGGGTCCACATGCCAGTGGATTTGATCGAATAGAAAAAAATTAAAAGTCGTCCTTAGCTAGAGTCGGTACGCCAGCCTCCGCGGCTTTTCACGGGCGCAACAGGCCACATCGGAAGGATGGACTTCGAGTACCGATCACGGTGTACATTGGTAGAGAAAAACATGGATACGAATTGGCTCTTCACAACCATACCGTGCGAACTTTGAGAGTTTCGCTTGTTTCATAGTTGAGGGCGATATCATTAATTTAGAGCGAGATTATGAAATAAAATTCCTCACCTCTGTGGGTTCTTGTTAACACGAAAAAAAGAAAAAATAAATTCAGTGTGTTCTATGTATTTGCGTCTCGCTGTGGTTTTTAAGGGCATTTCAGTATAACCTCCCGGTTCTTAAGGCAGCGATTTTTTCATGGGTGTGTTTATGGTTTATTCGAATTTCGGGCTCTCAAGAGCTATCTCACTATCTTCTGTCCTATATTGGAGCTCCCTGCTGGTCCCCACGTCGTTCATTCACGCGGGTCTTTCAGCGGTAATAGTCCGTTCGCGCCCTTGGCGTCAAACGAGCTAGCACTAGAATATTGGAGGGGTGAAGCAAGCATATAAGCTGCATGTGTGCCGTTTGACGCTATATGTACAGGGGCGGAAGGAAGTGTGTATTTGGGTATATTGCCGATTTAGAGTTAAGCTTTTAAGGTTTTAGTCGGGCGTCACAGGGTGGAACAGTGCACCAAATGTTGGTCCTCCTTCATCGGTTACTTGGATGGCTGGTGCATGTTCCCACACTGCCTTGAACTCTTGCCGGTGCCTGGCTGGCTCTTGCTGGTTCTGGCCCTGGGCTTGTTGGGGGTTGTTGTTCCTCGATTTCTTGTCTCGTTGGCACGCGCGTATCCAGTCATCAGCGGCTCGTCGTCGGATGTTCTGCATGAATATCGTCTCAAGGTCTCCTTTCTTGACTGTCTGTCCGTCTCCCAGTTGACAGAACGTCACGTATATCGCCCACACCGCTGCTGAGTGGATGTGGATCGCCAGAGGTGCTTCTTCCTCAATGTCTGTCCGTGGCCAGCAGAGGATTCGGTCCTTGGCGGTTATGCTAAAACGAGTAGTAGGATAAAGCGCTGTGAGTTTTTGGTGCATTGTATTCCAAAAGGCTTTCAAATCAGGGCAATCATGGAATGCATGCACATTGTCTTCAAGCTGGGTAGAGTCGCATCGGCGACAGAAGCCTAGTGTGTTGCTATCATTCCAAAATCGTCTGGTATTGTTGGTCAAAACCCTTTTGTGCGCTAGAAGGAAAAGCAGATCTTTTTCCTTGTTGCGTCGGTGTTTGTGGTGTAGGCGAGTGTACATTGTCCTCGCCTGTGCCGTTGTGAGGTCCCATGGCGTATTGTCTGTCGTGTGCACATTAGCATCATGAAGGTGGTCCGCCTGGTTTCTTTGTTTTAGTAGGATTGGTTGGATTACTCGCCGAGCTTTGCGAACTGTAAACTCTCCCAGTAGGAAAGTCAGGGACTTTAAGGCATTAAACGATTGTAGTTGCTCATCATTCAACGTGAACATGTCTGTGCAGCTTCTCAGAGCATCCAGAGGTGCAGCAACTTCACTAATGAGTGGTATAAATTCTCGGAAGAAATTGAACGTGCCCAAGTACGACTGAATTTGTTTGGCAGTGGTTGGAGGCTCCCATTCGTCAATATTTGCGAATTTAGATGGGTCGACACTCTTACCATGCAGACCAACTATAAATCCAAGTAGTGAGATCTGTGTACTGTAGAAGTTACATTTGCCGCTATTGATGATTAATTTAGCATCATTAAGTCTGGCAATAACAGTGTTTACATGATCGACATGGTCGACTCTGTTCTTTGAAAAAATTACAATATCATCAATGAAATTGTAGACAAAAGGAAGATCCCCGAGTATGTGAGACATTCCTCGTTGGAATAAACTTGACAATGGTTTTAAGCCAAAAGGTGCCTTCTTAAACATGTATTGTTTACCCTGATGCATAAATGCTGTTAAGGGTTGATCTGCTTCATTAATTGGCATGCGATGATACGCTTGTGAGAGATCAATAGTTGTAAATATGGCATGACCAGCGAGACGAATAACAATATCATTGATAAGGGATAATGGGTAGTTATCGTCTGGTAGATGTTTATTTAGGGGTCAAGGATCAAGACATACTCGCCATAACGTTTTATTGCCATTTTGGTCTTTCTTTGCTGTAAGCATAAGAGTATTACTGTGCACATTGCCTACAGGGGCAAGTGTGATAACGTCATCTATCAACCATTTTTCTATGGCTTCATTAAGAATGGACATTTGTTTTTCAGCAAAAGGACTTGAACGTCTATATAAAACAGTACCTTCCGGAATAGGGAGGAACACTTTCATTTCGGGTATTGTACAATAGCTTTGCTTAGGTACTCGCGCATTCTTGGCTAGTTCTGGCCCAATTTTTGCCATAAACACCTTTTTTTCTTTGATAAAGGACTTAATCTGCTCTTCTTCAGGTTCAGGTAGCAGAATGGCATCCTGTCCCGGGTTATGACATCCAGAAAGTCCAAATCCAAATTGGTAAAATAGATCCATTCCTATAATGAAGGGGTACGACCTATTGATTACTTCAAGTGTCGCAGATATTACTCTATTACCATAGGCGAGTTCTACATTTTCAACTAAGCCTATACGGGGAATAGTTAAGCTTTCATCAGCTAAAGTAATGTTGCCTTGTACCGGGGTAATAGATTTACTATGTTTGAGCGCAATATTTTTACGGATGCAGGTGACACTTGCTCCTGTATCAATCAGCGCTTCATATTTTTCTCCTTCGAAATTGACATAAACAACAATCCTTTTGTCAGCCTTCTCATGATTGAGATGAAGTTTGGCCAAGGTATGGGTATCGTTATCCAAAGTGGCATTCGACATTGATAAAGATGAAGTCGTGATGTGATAAGGTACAGTGACCGGCGTAGATTCCATTTCAACAGTGATACATTGATCATGCAATAGTAGCTCTTTTGCGTCTATCATTTCCATAGCGATTCTCGGTTGAGTACCAAACAACATCTTAGGATAACATGACGATTTGGTGTAGGTGTTTATACATTAAGATAACGTAGGTAATTTATTGAATGATTTAGATATGCTTTTAATATTGCATTTATTTTTGTTTTCCATTCTAAATGGTTCATGACTTATCGTTTCTAATGTTAACTGCGAAGAAAAGGAACAACATGGTTCATTATGTGAGCTAGGGGCTTTAATTGCCAATGAACTAATTGCAGGTTGATTGAGATACTCACCAATCCTTCGTGTACATTCTGAGGCTACGTGACCTCTTGCTTTGCATTTAGAGCATTGTTTATGCCCTTCTGTATTGTGTGTATTATTTTTCCCACACTGTTGACAGCCATAGAATCTTTTATTGCTCGATTCTTCATTCGGAGCGGTTTTGCTCATAGGATTATGCCTTGGTTTATTCCGGGTATGCCTCATGGGACCGTTTGGACGAGGTTTCTCTTCAGTTGCATCAGGGGACACTGGCGTTGTTAGATTAATTGGGCCCTGGAGGTTACCCAGAATTTTTATGAAATCCGATATATGGGTAAATGATGTAACGTATTGCTTCTTGTAGTTTTGCAACATTGCTATCATGATATGCAACGTGTGATTATTCATGGTCGCTTGGAGCATCGAGATAACCATGTCATTGTCATCTCGAACTCCATAGACACGGACATCCCTGTCAAGTCGCATAGCGAATTGATGGTACGTCTCATGCGCACCACGACCTTTTTCCAACAATTTGTTGAATTGAGACGTCCTTTCTTGTTCAGTCAATGCAATTTTCAAGAAAGTGGCTTCACATTTTTCCCAGGTCTTTTGATCCTCAGGAAGTTTTTTGAGTTCTTGCTCAAGATATCGTCGATGATAATCGCTGATAGTGAGGTACAGTAGGTATCGATCGCATGATTTTTCAAACGTTTCTCGGCCTACATATGTGCATACCACATGTCGGACATCATCTAAGAATTTGCGGGGGCTGGAACCAAGCGTGTATCTCGGCATGTCATCAGTCACTTTCAGATGCCCTTGGGTGGATGATGGTAAGGAGACGGCTTCATTTTTTAATTTCTTGAATTGGAATGGAGTTGCCAGTGACTCCATCTCTTGCACGGAATTCAGGAAATCTTCGGCTCTTTTCTCAAGCGCTCTAAGTTCTTGAGTTACGTTTTCCAGAGTCTTTTCGATGTTTCCCCCAACAGTTTCGGAACCTTGTTGAGCAATCAGACGGGCTAGGTGAGCTTTTCGAGTAGTTAACTCACGACGCTTCTCGTTCATGTCCGTCAAGATCTGTTCATTGCTTCGAGGATTCGCGGGCGTAGAGACAGGATCCTCCGTTATGACATCAATATCCATATCTTGGTAACGTTCTCCTTGAGGAATGGTGGACGAATTAGGCAGGATATCTTGCACGTCTGCGGGAGTTGCAGGAGGGACATCGTTATTAGCATGAGTACCAGTAAGATCGGAAGCAGCAGCGGTTATAGGGCTGTTAGATGCAGTGTTAGGATTCATTGTAAGAGTGTTTTTTTTATGGAATGGGTGTGGAAATGTGTTCAAATCTTCACTTAAAAAAATGAAAAATATTTTCAGATAGATAGTAGACAGTCGAAAAGTAAGTGAGAATAAGATGTGGGTCCACACACCACACCCATGGATTATTTTCACTTACTTTAAAATATTTTTCAATCACAATTAAATGTAGCCAAGGATATTTGCAGCATTGAGGATAAATTTAGTATTGACCTGAGACGGTGAAAAAAAGGACAAACTTAAAAAATTCTTGTCTTTTTTTCTTTTTTGTCTCTACAAGACCATGTCCTCGGTCGCTTCTGCTGGAGCATCCACTACCGGGGTAGAGGGATCCAGTTCCGCGACTGCCGTCAGGGCCGAGGAGTCCTCACCCTTGCTCGCAAGTTCCGCGAGGATTGCCATGGTCGAGGGGTCCTCTTCCATGCTCGCGGGGTCCCAATCCGATACGTCCTTGGTGGATGGCTCGGTTTGGGGGGTTAGCTTGATCCTTTTCACCAGAGGCTCCGCAAGGGCATCTTCATCCTTTGGTAGAGTATCAGCTTCCTTCGCGGTCGCCTTTTCTTTGCCTTTTGAGCTCAGAAGTCTGGCGTTAGAAGTGCTAGGAGTTGCTATCTTCCTCGCAGATGAGTTAAATAGTTGACCCTTCTGCCGCTGATTGCTCGTAGAGGATTCCGCGCTGCAAGAAGTGAAAATCGGCTCTTTTGGGAGATTGAACGTAAAGCTTCCGGATGTAGTGTTGGCTGCCACTGGGGCAGTTTTGCTTACTTCCTTGCTCGTTTGTTTACTCTCGAGCCTTTTACCTGACTCTTTGGCCTTTTTCTGCGCTCGTTGCTTTTTCCTGTTCTTGCGTGAGTTAGACTCAGGCTTTGAACTAGAAGTAGCGGTGGCGTTACTAGAAGCTTTGGAGGGCGGCATACGTCTCTTCCTTCCCTGCGTTTGATAGCCATCTGGATCTAGGCGTGTTGTTGGTGCGGACGAAATATTCGCCTGCGTTGTTGTGGTTGCCGATGATCTTGGTGGCCTTTTGTTGTTGTTGGTTGGTTGGGGGGGGGGGGGGGGGGGGGCGTGGTGGTAGTAGTTGGAGACTTGATTACTACCCTTGGTGGTGCCTGGGTTGTCTCCTTGCCGTACCTAGGAGCTAGGATTGGCGAGAATAGTGGACGGATCTCCTCCAGGTATAGGGTCCGTGGTGTCCTGCACTCTGCTGACAGGTGAGTAAGACTGCCACAGTTGTAACAGAATTTTCCAGCTGTCTCCCAGGTGAAGACGGTGTTGAAGCCGAACAGCGAAGCTGCTCTGATCAACTCCGTATCCGGCAGAGTGGTGTCGTGAAGGGCCAGGGTGATGCTGACCTCTCCGTTTTTGATCTTTGAGCCGGGACGGATGACGCCATATTCAATATCGCGTACTGTTCCAATTGCTGCGTACAGCTTGTTGAGGGCTGCTTGCAGTGCCGACTCGTCGGCGTGAGGTCCCACTGTTGGAGACCTGATCCTTTCCTCCAGCTTGTTGGTGTAGCGCGTCCTGGAGGGGCATAGGAGAGTGTCTCCTATGGCTACTTTGGTGTTGAGGGCGCGTGCGTACTTCTCTTCGTCGTCGAAGATGGCACACATGCTGCCTTTAGAAATAGGTATTTGGATCGGCTCCACTGCATCGCCAATGGCTAGCATGACCGAAGAGCGCATATCCAGGCGCGCCATTGGGTAGGCAACCACAAGTCCCCCGAATCCCGTCGGTGGGAGGTGTTGGGTCTCGTCGAACGAGACTACCTTGAGGAGACTTTTGCCCTTTGCTCTGTCCGTGTAGGAGAGCATGCGTGGTGTGGCTGGGGCAGGGGTTGCCGGAGTTTGAGCCTCCTTGTTGTTGTTGTTTTTTTTGTTTTTTTAAGAGCCTTTTTTAGGGTTTGTTGAGGGGCGGATGGATTTACATCCATCGGTGCTGGTCTTTCGACCTCTGCATCCATCTCAAAATCACCCTGGGGATCTTGAGAAGCGCTACCCATCTCCAGCTGGGTGTCACGAACAGCAAGCAATGTTGAGCTCATGAATTGATGAATCAGAAAAAGATCACGTGTGCTTGATTAATTTGTTCCCTCCTCATTCACTCATTTCCTCATGCATAGTTTTGTCTGTCAAGCCAAGTCGCGTCTTCTAGTTTTCTAGCTCCGTGAATAGCTCCAAGAATTCTAGAAGAGCTATAGACCAATGACCAAGGCTCATGGCGCCAAGGAACCTTGATATAAGATTGCACCAGATATCTTCCTCGGATCCTGTGTATTAAGTTAACTCAATACTTGGAGTTCTGCATATGGTAAAAGTCATTAGGAAGTATTTGAGTAAGCTTTATTTAGAGTTCTTGAAACACGTCTCCGCTCCAGTCAAACAAGTATAAATATCATAGACTTGTAACATAGCAAACCTCAGTCTGCAATAAATCCATATCTGATCCCTACCTTGTTTCCTAAACGCTTACCTTGACAATTATCTTGCCAGCCCTTGACACTGGGCCTGATCCTTTCCTGGATCCGGCTGCACTGGGGGTGCAGTCATTGGGAAGTGAATATAAAGGGGTAGGGGGGTATATACTGAAGGGGTGTGATATAAGAACAGGGGAAGGGGAACTCTATTTCAGGGATTTAGAGTTTGAGAAAATTGCGGAAGGAAAAGGTGCTCTACCATTTGAGCTAGATCCCCTATAGCGTGCTAAACCCATGTAAGCAGCTAGATCCCCGATTCGCTCGAGGTTGATGACAGCTTTAGGATTATCACCTCTATATACTCTAAACGAGAATCACATATGAGTAGTCGATCACGTGGACGATGTCTTATGTTAAGTATTTTTTTTATAAAAAAAAAAAAAAGTCTTATGCTAAGTACCACAAATTGTTATAAAAAAAAGCAGGAGGAAATCCAACGTCAAAGGGTACGGTACAATATCTTCAGGGACACAGCACCGATCTCAAGGTACATTGTTTACCGCTTTGTCAAGTCAATCGAGGGACTCGGCAGGACTGAGATCTGGAACAGACGTTGCGAAGTCACCGTCAACTGTGAAAGAGACAATGGCATCACCTCTGCGAGCAAACACGCCAGGGGACGCGACTGCATTAGAAGCCACAGACGTAGCAGAGATGAATTCTTTGGCTTTCACTAAGGATAACAATGAGCAGCAGGCGTGAAGACGATGCAGATCAGCAGATGGCGGCAAGCTGCCGACAGCAGGTGGAATTGGCGGTGATGGAGCGCCTGGAAGTTGTAAATCTTTGATAATTGAGGACTGCGGCTAAAGGGTGACCTTCATACACAGCAGGTTAAGTAGGGTAGAGCCATGCCGCAGATCTCCAGAGCACCAAGGAAGTTTACTCAATGCTGACGTGGTTTATGAACAAGATGTCGTACTGTTACTGTAGCAGTACAAAGTTGCGGCTTCGGTCGATTATTAGATACCGCTTTATCTGCCATCCCAGCAATGGGGCACACCATTTGCAGAGCTGACATCATAACAAACTCTACATGGCCTTGTGGGTCCTCGCTATCAAAAAATAAAAAATAAAAACTAATACGAAGGGTTTCTCATCGCTTGGAATACGTGTATTTAATTCTCAACTGGCCTTCCGTTGCTCTATAACATATGTATCCGTTCTGACCCCAAAGTTTATCATTTTATCATATCTGATATTAAGACCGCCTCTAGGTACAAAGACCGTGGTGTCCTACACTTTGCAGACAGCTGGGTAAGGTTGCCACAGTTGTAACAGAATTTGCCAGCTGCCTCCCAGGTGAAGACGGCGCTGAAGTCGAACAGCGAGGTTGTTGATGTACGGTCCCACTAGCAGAAACTAGTTTTTTCCCCAGCTTGCTGGCGCAGTGCGTCCTGGAAGGGCTTAGGGGAGCACTTCCTATTGCTACTTGTGTGTTGAGGGCATACGCGTATTTTTCTTTGTCATCGAAGATGGCGTACATACTGCCTTTGGATGTTGCATATCCTGCCTAATTGAGTATTAACAACACACGGACATGTGTGAAATGGTAATAATAAATGGTATACTAGCGTCCTAGACTTGGTACTGTAGTCCATGCAACAGCCTTAATATAGAATGTAGGAAAGCTAATAAAGACTCAGGCAATGCGTGATATTGCGATCCCCGTTTGATTCTCTTTTATCTTTTTCATCCTTCGCTTAGTATTATCAATAGTTATTAAAACCTTGATCTTAATCGCGCTTTGAGATATGCTCTGGATGAACCGATAGACAAAACAAAAGGGTACTCTTGGATGAAAAGCAGCCGTACAGTGCGCCTCAAGTAACTACAAGAAAATTCGCTTTGAGTCGCATCCCTAACAATGTTACCGGTCTTTTTTTTTTTTGAGGGTATGGCCAAGGTGAAATAGAATATGCTTTGGCCCTCTCCGAACAACCCAATGCAAAGAAGTGAAGGGCGGGTTAAGAGCATGTTCCACCGGCCGAATAAAGAAGCAAGCTATTGGTTTGTCATGAGAAGGCGCCACTAACCAAACAATGGAGATGCTTATTTGTTTTATGCACATGCCACCTTACAGCACTGGATTTGTTTTTTATGACACTCTTCTCCAATTTTGTTCCGAAGACGCCGATTCCCGTCTTCCCCATGACTATAACAAATCCCAAGGATAGACGCTTAAATGTGTCGGTGTTTAGCTTTCTCAGCCGTGGTCGTCCCTACGTACCTCACTTCATTGTTATTACTATCATATTATTTATTTGTTGCGGTTTAGTATATCCTATTGCATACTCATCCATTTTGTAGACTTATGTCGAATATTAAATCCACATACACCAAAAGACTAGCAAGGCCACTCCACTCTCGTACCCCCATCCCATAAGGTACTGTACGAGACCTCAACAAGGCTCCAGCAGGAGGAGAGTGATTAAATAGCTTTCACTCCAAGCAATAGGCACAATTGACAATGCTCCTCATATCTCCCCATTGATGCCGGGGGCTTGTAAGCCAATGAATGTCTCTACTTTAAGGCAAATGTACTGGAGCTGTTGAAGCAGAGAGCGGCATCCGAACCCATTATCTGAAGAACAAAAAATACCTTTTTTTGTTGTTGTTTCTTGACAAGGGTCTAGTCACCTCATGTTTCAAACCGCTTCCTACATACTGAGCCAAATCTGCTCATGTATTCAGCGCTCGTCTCCGTGTAATAATATAAATCTCATGTTGTTTACTGTTTTCTTTTAACGAGACAAAGCATTAAATTCTCTAACAAGGCAAGAGCCGCCGTAATGAAGCCACAGGCTTGCAGCTCGTTTTTATGAAAAAGAAAGAGTAGAGTTATGTTCTGTTACTCCTTTTTCCTTCCCTTAAGTAGCTTTGACTCACTTAATCTCTTTTGCTTTCGATAATAGGCTCTTCTAGGTTGCTCACGCAAAAAAGAATTCCTATTATCACGTGGTTGAGCACAAGCCACGCATAGCACCTGTCCTTGCGTGCTTTGTAAGATCATCAGTACGCTACACCAATGACAGCATTCAGCCTTCTTTCATGATCTACAGCGTCGCATGTCGCTTCTCATCATTATAGATCCTGTGCTGTTGAAATGTACCACCCGAACGACAATTCGCCAAACAGATTGAAAGGAGAGCAGAGCCACCTAACCCATTCCGCCATTGAATCAAATGGCAATCCTGTAACATCAATGAGCTATAATTACCCTTCCTCTAACAGTTATCCTGATCTGACTACGGCTGGTGTTCAAGTTGGCACAATCAATATGCGGCCACCCAACGACTTACAATCACAACGCGCTTTTCCATCAGCCACAAAGGTTGGGTTTTCATCAGTACCCTCTATTGATGGCGTGGCCATGCATTTGTGGCACGCGCAATGCAATCTATAGTGGGCTCAATATGCCTACCAGCCGCTCGACTATTTAAAAATTAAATGATTCTCTTCTCCTTTTTGTAATATCCTTTAGCTTTCTAATCCTATATTGCAGTTTGCAAATGGAGTTCGGAAAACTGGAATGACACGGGAGGAACTGAAGAACTGCGGTAACATAATCAAGGAGTTGAAGAAGCATCGTGACGCTGCTCCATTTCTCGTTCCCGTTGATCCTGTTTTGCTCAATATTCCCGACTATCCCAGTGTTATCAAAAACCCAATGGATTTATCTACGGTCGAGCGTAAGCTAAACAGTTTGGAGTACGAAACAACAGAGGACTTTGGGAAAGATATTCAACTGATTTTCGACAACTGCTATCTTTATAATGGAATTGATGCACCTGTTTCCCAAGCCGCGACGGGATTGAAAAATGCATACACCAAGCTTTTGCGTCGATTTTCAACTGAAGTAAGTAACCTTATCTGGGCATTGTTATCTGCTGAAAGATAATAATGGTAGCTCACTCATAGAGACTTCCATTTGCAGAATGTCAAAAATACTGCGGATTCGATTGCTGCGAAAGAAACGCCGAAAAAGCCATCTTCAGGGCTAAAGTCAAAGAAGGAGTTGGCCAAGAAAGAGAAAAAGGAGCCCAAGCTTATCCCTGTCCAGCTTGTTACCCCTGGTTCAACAGCAGTGCCTACACTGACGCAAATGGAACGAGTACGAGAGGAATCAGAGGAGCGGCGACCAAAACGGGACATTCACGCCCCTTCAAAAGAGATTCCAACAGGGATTTCTACGAAATCAAAAGGTGCAGCAAGGTGGAAATCCGACCCACAGCTAAAGTTTTGCCACGACTATATTTTGAAGGAGCTTGGAAAAAAGACACATGCAGAATTCATGTTTCCATTCATGGAACCTGTTGACTGGGAGAAACTCATGATCCCAGATTATCCAAAGATCATTAAGCATCCAATGGATGTTGGGACCATTCGCAAAAAACTTGAGGCAGATGAATATGACAGAGCAAGCCAGTTCAGGGATGATATCCAACTCGTTTTGAGCAATTGTTTTACGTTTAATGCCCCAGATAATCCAGTCCATATTATGGGTCGCAGGATGCAGCAGCTCTTTGAACAGCTCTGGGCAAAGCGACCCCGAACGCCATCGCCCCCGCTTGTTGAAGAGGTTGCTGTTGACTCCGAAGATGAGAATGAAAATGAGAATGAAGATAATAATGAGGACTCTTCAGGTATCTCACATACAATGTGGAAACAATGTTCTTTTTTATTTTGCTGTTCCGATATTTAAATAGTAACTTGTTGGTGCTGATATTTGGTATTTTGCTTTTGCATCTCCCGGTGACATAGACGAGAAGATTGCAGAAATGGAGAGACATCTCAGGACTTTGGCAGAAGAGCTGGAGTCAATGAAGGCAACGAAGAAAAAGGTGAAAGGTGAAAAAGGAGACAGAAAACCAGAACCCAAAACATATCAAGACAAATCCAAATCCAAGTCGACATCAAAAGCACAAAAATCATTAGCAAGAGTTCCAGAAAAGAAATCTAGTACAAAGAGGTCTCGACCAGTATATTTTAGCAGTGATGAAGACGAAGACGAAGACGACATCCCAATTATCACGTTCGAGCAAAAGAAAGAGCTCAGTGATAGCATCAATAGCTTCGAGGGAGAAAAACTCGGCAAGATTGTGCAGATTATTCACGATAGCATGCCTCACTTGCGTGATGTAATTGAAAGCGCTCCATGTTTCTTTCCCGCCCCCCGAAAAAAAAATGCACAGGATCTTGATGATTTGTATACTTATTTTAATGGCTAACTCAATTTTTACCTTGTAAAATAGAATGGTGGTCAGGAAGAAATAGAGCTGGACATGGATTCCTTGGATCCTCGCACGCTTTTTAAACTGTATCAATATGTCAAAAAGAATTCACCAAAGCAGAAAAAACCAGTCCCTAAGAAATTGAAGGTTCAATACACGGAGGAAGACTCTACGAGGAAAATCACAGAGCTTGAGCGCACTCTCCAAAAACTAGATCATGAAGCCCATAACAAAGGTATGACAGTAGCCATAGGATACGGATATTGCCATCTTGTTATGCGAGTAAGTTTTATTAATATTGCAATTCGTTGTTATTAGATACTTATACTCCACAAAATGGTAATTTCTCAAGTGCAACTGACAGCTCCAGCTCAGGATCGGATAGTGATGATTCAGGTAACAATAGCAACAAATTTTACGCAAATCATATTGATCTTATTCTTTTATTTGTGAGTTTGTATCTGAGATCTCTGGAATCCAAGGATTTCACCATATCTACTGTTTATCGATCAACTGGCGTATTGAAACAACACATTTTACAGGATTACGTTTTTTTTTTGCCCGGCTACAATTAAAAGACAAACCTAAATAGTATCATTTGCAATTGAGATGCTTTCAGAACTCTTTACTGAACACTTCACTGTTATGGGTCCTAATTTTTTTTTCTTCTTCTCCACGGTCTTGTTCATTGTCCTCGCTACCTACAGAGTCGGATATTGAGCCGCAGGTAGATTATTCGCGGGATTGAATATAATACATATAGTTATTGATATGTATAGCATGCTTATCCATGGTTCTTTCGGTTGTTATAGATTGTATCAACATCCCCACAAGCACGGAAATCGCCAGCACCCGTTAAAGAAAAATCATCCTCCATTTCCACATCCACACCCGCACCCGCATCCGCACCCGCACCCGCATCGGCGTCTCGTCATTTAACAAAACGGAAAAAGGCTGAGTCATTAACTCCATCTCACCCAGTATCTCCTCCACCTATTTCTCACCCAAAAAGAATTCCGCAAGACAAGCCCTGGCTCAATCAACTAACAAGCTCTAAAGCCACCATGTCCTTTGATGTCGCCTCTCTTGACCTTGATGTGGCAGAGCCTTCAATCAAAAAGTCGACGGGAGAATCTGAAGGCTATAGTCGTAAGAGAAGCGATGTAAGTTGTGAGAATACTTTGCGCCATAGAGAAGTGCATGTGCCTGTACCTTATTTATCACATTTTTCACATTTTTCACATTTTTCACATTTTTTTTTTCTTTTTTCTTTTAAGGAAACAATTCATGAGGCAACACAGCTAGAAAATATGGAGCATTGGGCAGCATTCACATCAGACTCTCTACCTGCTAATATATCGAACCCGTTGCCTGCAATTGATGGAGGTAGTAAAAAAGCGGATCTCGCTTGGGAGCAGTTCCAGAAAGATATGAAAGCCAAAAAAGAAAAGGTAATACCTTTGGGGGGAATGGAACTAGCTTACGCTATGTACTTTTCATTACTTTAATGATGTCGCTAGTCTTGTTTACACAAATGTTAATACTTTGCGCTGATAAATTAAATTTCCAGGAACAACAACTTCAGGATGAGCAGCTTCGCAAAGAGCGTGAGGCGCGTGAAGAAAACGAACGTCGACGCCAAGAAGAGATAAAGCGTCTAGAAGCGGAGAAAGAGCGCAAGAAGGAAATTGCTCGCGAGGCCTATTTGAGAGAACAGAAGCGAACTCAGGAGATTCTACAGAAGCGCCAGGAGGCATTAAAGCGAAACCGTGAAGTACGTGATAGTGGCTGTCCTTTGTGGGAACATGCAATCATGATGCAAGAATTTGAGCAACAGAACCAGAAAATGATGCAGGATCAGATGCGAAAGCACGAAGAAGAGCTACGTCGGAAACGGTCGGCATATCCAGACATATTAGCGCAGATTCGACAGAGTAGTACCTCTCAGGGTTCATCTGGTGGCTCTACAACGTCTCCGATTGGACCACCTGGTGTAAGTGTAAGTGGCGCAAGCAGCTATGGAGCAAGAGCATCAATACCGACATCGCCTCCTCAGCCATGGTCGTCTCCTTCTATGCAGCCCCCTCCGCCCGCGCACTCGCCTCCGTTCTATGCACAACCACCACCGCCTCCCCCACCACCATCTTATTCTCCATCTCCTCCACCCCCACCGCCTCCACCACCCCAGGAAAATGGCTCTACAGGCCACAGCTCTGGCCTTCAGTCAGTGGACATTGCCTCTGGCTCTCAGTCAATGGATATTGCCTCTGACGAGGATGATATGAATTGTGATGAGGACTAAATAGCCATGTGCCACAGAACCTTCACGTTGCTTAAAAACACTTCTCCCTTTGAGAAGTCTGAGCTATAATATTTTGAGCAAACTTGTATAGTAATAATAAAAAAGCCGAAGTTTTTTTTTTTTTTTTCTTCTGAAAAGTTAAAAGTCATTTGAAAAAAGTGCAATGGAGGCGTCAGCTTGCATGGTAGAGACGGCGACAATCCGTCGTGTCCTCTTGACAGAAGATGGTTTGATAATGGAGATGTTTTCGCAGGAGCTACTCTCACTAAGAGGGAAATTTGGCATATTATGGACCGCAAGTATGCCTCCGTAGCCACGTCCCCAAATGAACATTTGCCCGTTCTCGCTGCATGTCACTGTGTGAAAGTCGCCACAGCGAATCTCTTTGGCCCTTGGACCGATGCGCACTAACGTCGGGAACAAACGCGTCTTGGGCTTAAATATCCCCATGTTTGTCGAGTTTGCCGTGACATTCCCTTCCATATCTAGCAGGCTATCACTACTGTCACTATCACCGGAGTTTGCGCACAAATTCGAAGGCATGCCTACAGATGGTGCCTCAGAAGATGCTCCAGAAGAAAATGGTAACGTTGTTGAAGATTTTACGCCAAGTTGACCGTAATCATCATTGCCCATTGTTATTATTAACCCGGTAAGAGTCAAAACCACGGTATGGCGCTCTCCACCTTGAACTTGCTTCAGAGACCTGCCCTTCCAGTGCAAGAATATTTCCTGCGGAACCTGAATAGTATCTTTCACAAACTCTGAAGTATCTGGTACATTCGCTCCATTTTGTTGATACTGATACTGATGCTGGTGCTGTAACCTCAAACGAACTGCCGCTGTAACACTAGGGGTACGTCCCAATTGGCCATAAGTGTTATCACCCCATCCATAAAGTTTCTCTTCATCCCAAGCGAATGATGACAATTTACCACAGCCAATACCGATAATATTTGGTGGGAGGTTATCAATATAATACGGAAACAAGTCGATGTTTGCGTGTTCACCATAATGTTGAGATTGATCCAAAATTCGGTTCCAGGACTGGGCAGAAGTAAACGGGTTATTTTTATCTACAGAGTTGCATCGCCGTCCAAGTTGGCTATGGCTATTAGAACCCCAAGAGATAACCTCGCCACTGAAAGTCAAAGCGATAATATGGTTGCGTCCACAAGCGACATCTTTAATATGTTGTGAGCAAACCTGGGTGGGATATGGAGCATCCCTTCGGCCAAAGATTCCAATCTGCTTGCCATTAGCATCCTTTTTTTTTTTTTTTTTTTTTTTTTTCAAAAAGGAAGAGAAACAAATAGCAGTCAGTATATATTTGTAGTTGCTTTTTTTTTTTTTTTTTTTTTTTTTTCTGGTACCTCAAATGCTCCCCACCCCCATAGGTCGCCATTTTCTGTCAGAAAGAATGTGGCAGTATCTGAGCAGACAACCTTGGTGATTTTATATTGTAGTGTATCGACAAAAGTCTTTGAAGTCAATCGGATTTCAACCAAACCAGGCTGAAGAGCAGTGTTTTCGATAAGAGAAGGAGCAATTTGCGTCCTAATTTTCCGCCCCAGTGTCTCCTCAATCTCTTTCTCGCCGGCCTCCCCAGCGGGTAGAGGTATCCCTTCGCTTTTGTTGTTGGGCTCCCAGCACGAGTAGATTTGGTTGGACCGCGTCACCACGACAATATGACATCTTCCTGAGGCCAGGATCACCATATCCAAGGCCTGAAACCCCAGCCAACCGTCTTGACGATTGATAAACGAGGACATGCTGCGCGACTTGAGATTGATTCCCATAGTAGGTTTTCTAGCATTTAAGAGTGTCGGTGGAAGCCGTGACCGGTATCCGTTACTATAGGATGGATGATTTAATTGCTGCGGTTGTTGCTGTTGTTGTAGATGGTCCGACGAATAAGATGAAGTAGAGGAGGTAGCTCTGGATTGACTGGAGGAAGATGGCCAGGAACAGAACCAAGAAGAACCTAGTGAACTTTGAGTAGCTGTTGAGCAGCTGGAGGCCGGGGAGAGAGGGAGCCTAGGCGAAAATAGGTTATCGCAGCTACCTGCCAGGTTGTCAGGATCTTCGGATAGAGTCATAACACTTGAAGGGTGAACAATAATCATGTCCAGCAGCTGGTTAGTAGATGACAATCCTTTAGTTGTTACAGTTGATACGATGTTGGCGTTTTTAGTGGCTTCCTTCTTCCCAGTGATGATATGTCTCTTCTCTTTCATGATCCTCGCGCTGCCTCCACGTGTCAAGTGGTCTGGCAAAATGGGCGGCGAGGTATTGTCTTTTGAAGCATTATTACTAATCTCTTTTGCTGGGACGTACTCGTCGAAAGTAAAGTCTTCCCTGGCGGAGCTGTGGGCTGACGCTGGAGTAGCTACATCTAAGAATGAATCATGATGCTGTCCTTCACGAGGCGTCAGGGATGGAATAGAGGAGCAAGGCGTGCTGATGCTTGCATCGATACTCTTGCAAGTCGCAATATTTGCGCCATATATTTTGATAGGAGTGATCGGACTTCGAGGGGACTTGGAGTATGAGTGCTGGCGCTGTTGCTGACATTGGTTGTCTCGCAATTCGCCTTGTTGCCTTAGTTTCTTTGGATCACACTTTCGTGATGTGATGACAGGCGTAGGAAGGAGAACTGGTCGATTGCCTCTACTAGTAACTGTAACGGCAAGTTGGGGCTTTGAATGTTCCTGCTGTTGTTCCGTAGAATACGTAGTGATAGAAGGAAGGTTAATAGATATAAAGCATGCGTCATCTTTTGAGGTACGGTCAGATTCAGGCGATAGAGGCAGCGGAGGTAGTGACTTTAAGGACTCGACAAAGATAGAATCCTTTCGGAACGTCACTGAATGTTGGTGCCAACATGAACCTTCGACTTCCTTTGGGTCTGGAGTGTCTGGTAAGTCATACTGTAGTGGATGTTCGAGGGCATTGCGGCCCATGAACGACAGGCTGTCGACAGTCTCTGCTGAGGGCGGGAGAATCATATCTTCCACGTGCTCATCAAAATCTCGCTCTAATTCAGACATGAAATTGAACGTCTGGTCCGCAAATGCTGTATCGACTGTTCTATTTGGAGCAGTTTCCATCATTTCGCATCCATAGTTCTCATCTTGCACGTACACTTCAGTAGGGCCATCTAAAGCACTATTACAAGGGGATATATTTATGTTGTGATCATCGCTATCATCACTGAACAGTGCCAAGTGTTTGCTCATCATCTCTGATAAAGTGATATCACGGAGATCTAGGAATTCAGGAGCAAACATAGTGTGAGTTCGATTGTTATTGAAGTCTGGCTGGCATTGCAGTGAAATATGGCCTTTTTACCTTCTTCAGCTTCGTTGAAATGATCGTAAAGCAAAGTATCTTCAGGGCTATAGCTTCTCTCAAAAGCCTCAGCATTCACCGTATAGTTTCTTGACTTCGGGTTTCCGGATTGAGCAGGCTGTTGAATATGCCCGAGAATGGACCCAGGTGCACGGTCGAATGGCGAGACTGGGGTGATTGGAGATGATGATAGTGACGGGTTTGATGAAGACAAAGATTGGACAAAGTGCTGCCTTCCTTCATGGTTAAATGCAGGTGAGGCCATATCTGACGTAACGAATAATTCTGGTCTTGTTTCTATTCTGGCCGGTAGTGATGGTGACCTAGGGATGAATACTCGTTCTGTAACAGTGGGGTGTATCTGAGTAGAATGTGTTGTGGCTAGGATACGATTAAATGACGCCATTGAAGATAGGCTCTTGAGCTGTTGTCGTTGTTGTCGTTGTTGTCGTTGTTGTCGTTGTTGTCGTTGTTGTCGTTGTTGTTGTTGTTGTTGTTGTTGTTGTTGTTGTTGTTGTTGTTGTTGTTGTTGTTGTTGTTGTTGTTGTTGTTGTGCTGTTTGCTGATGTACTGAGGGTATTAGGCTTCCGCGCCTATTGGAGTTGGGGGGAAAGACACCTAGCTTAGGCGAATGTGGCATTGGGTTTAACTGTTTACGGTTGCCAATAGATCCATTGTAGATCCTATCCAAGTCTCCTATTTCGTTCCCCTCTGCAAGGACATCTCTCTCCATCTGCTCCAATACCAGCAGCTCGAGTCGGGCTTCCTCAGCTTTAGCTCTGAGATACCGGACAAGGTTTTGACGCGATTGACGGCTTGACGCTGTGTTACCTTCGAAAGCTTGATTTGACTCACTTAATATCCGTCCTCGTGTTTCAGAGAATTTCACTGGCCATGATAGCGGTGATTGAGGTGAATTCAGTTTGGAAGAGGCATGTGTGGTCGGTTCAAAATCAGTTAACGGAGGTTCGACTGGTTGCTGATACTGTTGCTCAAAGTGAATATGGCCTGAAGCTTGAGATCTTGCCTTTTGAAAGAGTGACTGCAATCTATTATGTTCCTTCATTGCACTTGTCTGTTGAGATTCAATACTCTTAACGCGAGTATGGCGTGAGTATGAGATTCTTGCTGATGACCGCGGGGAAGTAAACGTTGGTGGATTGCTAGATACGACTGCAGCTTGGCTCTGACCTAATCCTATGTGACATTTGCCAGTCAGCTCCTGAGAAGAGTACTGAGCTGTTAATGGTAAAAGAGTCTGCTGCTCGGGAGTATAGCTCGGATCCCAAGAGGCTTTAAACGACCCGGGCTTCCCTAGCGAAAAGGTATATGTTGTTTGTGCCTGTTCTTGTGTTTGTGTTTGTCTCTGATTGAGCACTTCGACTATTCCTGGGTATTGATTGTTTTTAGGCATCCTTTTGTTGTTTGATCGCTTTACTAACTCATATAGCAGTCGAGTCGAGTATATTATTCTGCAGGTGTACAGGAGAGTAGGATGCAAATTCAGTAGCACAGGCCGCGTAAATGATTGAACTAAAAGGGAGAAAGGGAAGGAAAGAAAAGGTGACCAGAAGTCGTTCGAGACATGCACTTTTATTGTTTTTTGTCTATTAATTTCACTGACCCTGAATGTTTTTTTTTGATCTGTGCAGACAGGAATGAGTGGTCGTGCACATTCGTATGTATTTGTTCCATCACAGACCGTTTCATACACTAATCTAATCACTTCTTTCAACGCACATAGTCAGAATAGGCAATAAAGGAAAAGGGTGGTTCACTTTGTCCCAAGGAACAGTAAAAAGGAAAAACAACATTATCTCTTTGGCACGAAAAGGGTGCTTGTTCGTCTTTATTCTCTATTCCAGAACCTGCCAGTCAAGAGTAATGTAGTATTTGTGCTTATATTTGCCGACTTTCTATCTTCCTCTCGTCGTTTTTTCGTTTTCATAATGTTTCCATTGCTTTCGTAGCCAGTAATGGGTATATAAATGTTATTCAAACCCTTCATATCGTACTATCTTACAAGTTAGGCTTGATCCTTCCTATTCTTCTTCCTCATCTTCTATTTTCCTCACTTTCTCCTCTACTTTACTTGTCTTCCGCATCGTCAACAGACAGCAATTCCTCTGCTTCTTTGAGTGCCTTCTGGATCTCTGCACTCTCGGGATCAAACATCAATCCAAGTTTAAGAGCTTCAATGCCTTCCTCGATCCGTCCCATGCCGAAGAGAGCCTTGCCCAGACGGAAATGTCCCTTGGACCATGGACGCTTCAGCTCAATGACGCCCTGTGCATCGACATAGGCATTGACCCACTCCTTGCGGGCAATATAGGAGGCAGAGCGATTGCAAAGCAAGACAGCAAGCTCCTCACGTGCCACACCAGTTGGCTCCCATAGAGGACGATCAAAGGCAATATTGATGGCATTGGTGTAAGCAGTGATGGCTTCCTGATGCCGCTGCGCACGGAAGTGCGCATTACCATCCTCACGCATCTTGGCAATCTGTTGAGACCGCAGGGGAAGTATAGTCCCAGGGGGTGGAACCTGACCGTTGGTTGACTTGAGATGGCGAGTAAGGTCGTTGATCTCGGCAAAGGATTGATGACATTCTGAGCATACCTCTTTTTTATGCTGGCCGCAAACGACCTTGTCATTGACGATTTGGAGGTTGACAAGAGTAGACATGCTAAATGAATGATTAAGCTGGTTGAAAGTGGTTGAGACTTGTAAAGTGATGATGGAAGAGAACACTGGCTCACTTTTTGTATGTGTTGGTGTGTGGTGTGGGAGTGATCGATTGGGCAATGTTCGATTTGGCTTTGGGATCGGACCCTTAATAGATCCGACTATTAAAATGGCGGCGTTCTTTTAACCACGTCGCGCTATGTGTTTTTAATTGTTTTTTTTTTTTTTTTTTTTTTTTTTTTTTTAATTCAGTAACGCCCAATTCAACTCCAAGGCAATAAAAAATTACGAAAGTCATGACAAGTAATAGTATTGCATCGTCATCCACTGCAGCCCAGGTCGTTAACAACAATGCACAATTCAAAGGAAACATTGACTCTTTTGAATTGCCATGGTAATAGAAGTATAAAAGTACATACAGCACAAACCTTGAACTTGAATCATTCAAAACATGAAAAAAAGAAAAAAAAATAATAAGAGCTGTTAAATTAAGAGCTTACCTTTGGGTTCCTATTCTATTATTTTGTAGGGTTGAGAAGTATAGACCACAGTTGCTCAAAGACATTGTTGGTAATGAGGAAACTGTTGAGCGCTTGCAATTGATTGCAAATAAGGGAAATATGCCGCATATGATTATTTCAGTAAGTTGCCTATGAATGGAATGATTAGCGAGGATAGAATTCATGGCAGTTAACAAATCAATGAATCCATTGAAATTTCAGGGATCACCTGGTATTGGAAAAACGACAAGTGTACTGTGTCTTGCGCATGAATTACTTGGACCTGCCTTTAAGGAAGGTGTGTTGGAGCTTAATGCCTCTGATGATCGGTAATAACTCCGTAATAGCCCCCAAGAGCTTCTTTTTACACGATTCATTAAACCATCTAGGCGAAGGTCTCTTACCAACTATTGTATCTATTTTATTCTCTCATAGTGGTATTGATGTGGTTCGTAACAAGATCAAGACATTTGCACAAAAAAAGGTGACTCTTCCTCCAGGACGCCACAAGATCATTATTTTGGACGAAGCCGACAGTATGACAGCAGGGGCTCAGCAGGCACTCCGACGTACAATGGAGATTTATTCCAACACGACACGCTTCGCATTAGCCTGTAATCAGTCCAGTAAAATTATCGAGCCCATTCAAAGTCGATGCGCCATGCTCCGTTATACGAAGCTGACAGATAAGCAGGTTCTACAACGTTTGCGTGAAGTTTGTGAAGCGGAGAATGTGAAGTACACCGCCGAAGGATTAGAGGCTCTTATCTTTACGGCAGAAGGCGACATGCGTCAGGCTATCAACAACTTACAATCAACATGGTCAGGATTTGGATTTGTGAACGATGAGAATGTGTTTAAAGTTTGTGACCAACCTCATCCCGTTGTTGTAAATGCAATTATTGCAAGCTGTCTTCAAGTCAATGTCGATAATGCTCTCAAAGGGCTCCATCAACTCTGGCGTCAAGGATACAGTGCTGTGGACATTATCACTACATTATTTAGGGTCGTCAAGTTTTATGACGGTATGCCAGAATATATGAAGCTGGATTACATTAAGGTAGGTTTCCGATTACTTGCCTTTTACAGGACAAAGAATAGATGGTATGATATCGCTTTGCACATAGGATAAACAATTAACAAAAAGCTGCGGAAATCAACACATAGGAAATTGGTCTCACACACATGAAAATTTTGGAAGGAGTAACATCCTTGATTCAACTTGGAGGGCTGATCTCGAGACTTTGCAAAATGTCTATGGATTCATCCGCATTCACAGTGTAGATAACAGTGGTATAAATGATGATGCTGATATAAATTACAAATGACGAATCTCTAGTCTTTTATGTATGTCTTGGTGCGCCGATAATATAGTACAGGAACATTGAAATAGTCTATGTAAATGTGTAATCAAAATGCAATGGATTTTCTACTCGCTCTTGGACTTCTTAGCCTTCTTTGATGTGTGCAGCTCGCACTCATCCACTTTGCGTTTCTTTGATAGGTTTTTGTCACTCTTGTCCTTTTTTCGATTTTTCTTTTCAGAATCGCCTGTCTGCTTGTCGTTTCCCTTTTCCTCTTTCTTCTCTTTTTTCACCTTCACCTTCTTCTCCTTTGCCCTCTTCTCCTTCTTCTCCTTCTTCTCCTTCTTCTCCTTCTTCGACTTTCCCTTACTCTCTTTCTTTTCTTTCTTCTTTTTTTCTTTCTCATCCTTCTTTGGCGACTTCCCCTTCTCACTCATATCCTTGGATTCATCCTTGGCTTTCTCTTCCTTTTTGCTGGAGTTTTCAGTCCTCTCCAAGTCATTGTCAACCAGTAATTCTTTCATGACTCTACCCAATTTTCCAGGCTGCTCACTTCTGGCTCCTTTTCTAGCTGTCCGTCCTTCACAGGCCTCAAATAGCTCTTGATCGGTGACCTTGATCGAGTAATCCTTAAACTCATCTGCCTCAGCAGCCTTCAATACCTCGTAATTGGAGCCAGCTCTAGCAGAAAAACTATCAGCACTAGTAGTGAATTCCTGATTTGTCCTCTTAGAGTCCTCAGCCACTACACTGCTTGCGGATGCCTTAACAAACCCAAAAAGCCACGAAGGTGCTGGCTTTACTACGAGCGCCGGCTTCTCTGCGTCATCTTGAGCATATTCATCTCGAGGAGTCATACTACCCATGGTCGGTGTCGAGGAAGTGCTAGACTGTGATGGTCCTGAAGGCCGAGAGGTGGAGATGATGCCCATCCGTGACAGCTGAATGCCGGATGTAGTCTGCTTCTCAACTTTGACTTCGCCAGTTTCATCCTTATTAATCTGAATATTGGAGGCTGCTTTGTTAAAAACATGATCCCACCAAGCAAAATCCCACTTGTCTAGCTTTTCACCTAACTAGATAAAAAAAGGTTAACATTAGGACCAAGTGTGAACTGTCACTTTACAATATGTTTACTAAAAAATAAAAAGTAAATTATGTTAGACTTACACCCTTGGTATCGTTTTTCTTGACGACGGAAATACTCTTCTTGATTCCATCCTTGTTCTTCCCAAGCCCTTCACCATTCTTCCAACCAAACTTGGCAAGCTGCTTCTCTGCAAAAGACATGGCAATGAGGTGAATGGTTGCAGAACGAAAAGAAGGGCCTTGAAATTATGAAGTTTGAAAAAAAAAAAAAAAAAAAAAAAAGAAAAAAAAGCACGTGAATTTGTTTACTCCATTGCCAGTGAATAGTCACAAGAACTTATTTTGGAGAAAGTAGCTTCGGAATGTACAGTTGATCTTGTTCTTCGTCCTTTGCATTCGTCCTCTCGAGAACAAGGTCAACGATGCTCCGATTCAGTAACCGTGCACAGCCAGTCCTGTAAGCAGACTTTGTGTCATACATTTTTTTATAAAAATAAAAAAAAAAGTTGTCACTGACGCTTGCAGCAGACGTCTAAGCACATTTTTTGTTCTTTGTTCCTGACTCGATACTTATTCAGATCGGCCACTTTTAGACAAGTAAGTCATGAACTATGAAATCATAGCTCACAAACTCGTTTGTACATCCTTTCTTCGATCATGGACCGGCTGCAGAAATTTGTTTAGCTGATGATTAAGTAGAGTAGCTAAGCAGATTGGAATTTTCTTTATAATATCAATCGGTCGTTAGTATGCTCTCCGTTCTGCTAACATCAGGACTCAGTGGAGTGCAAGGTCAGCTGTTATGAAACAAATGGTTACCCCAGCTATGGGCGCAGGACTGAACCGCCACATGTCCACGGAAACATCAAAAGCTACATTTATTGATCCTACTTCCATTGCAGCCGGCAGCTCATCAAACGACTCTAAGCAGGAGGCTATTAGTGCCACTACTGTTGACCCAATTTCCCCTTCAGCAGCCGATGTCATTGGGAACGTTACGGAGGGGTCAGTCGCTACAGCTACAGCCAGCACTACTTCTGCAATCTCAGAAGTCGCTGCTCAGAATGCTGACACCATTGGTCAGGTCGCTATGAAGTATGGCGATCTCAAGGCCATGGGCCTAGTCCACTTTACACCAGTTGGAGGATTGGAAACTGTCCTGGAGGCTGTGCATATTTCAACTGGATTGCCTTGGTGGGGAACGATCGCTGTAACGACAGTTATGATTCGTACGGCTTTGGTACCTTTTATCGTCAAGTTGCAAGGGAACACAGCTCGTCTTCACAATGTTAAGCCTCAGTTGGAGCGTTTGACCGAGAACATGAAACTTGCCAAGGAGAATAACGATACTGCAGCAATGGCTCGCTTCTCAGCTCAGACTCAGGAGCTCTTTGCTAAACACGATTGCAATCCCGTCAAGTCATTGATGCTTCCTTTGATGCAAGCGCCTATTATGATTTCATTTTACTTGGCTCTTAGGGACATGGCCCACTTGCCTGTACCGCAGTTCAAGGAAGGAGGTATTGGATGGTTCACAGATCTTACCGTTGCAGACCCTACTTATGCCTTACCGGTTATGTCATCACTTGGTTTTTTGGCTATCATGGAGCTGGGGTCTGAAGCTGGTGGTGTCGCTCAACCTAAGGCTGTTAAAAATGTTATGCGTTTTATGGCTGTCGCCATGGTCCCTTTGACCATGAATTTTCCAGCTGTAAGTCGTTCAGTCACCCCCTTCTGAGGTTATTTCTGTATATGCATGAGAAACTTTCTTCATATTCTTAACACTGCATACTCTTTTTTTATTTTTACTATTAATATTCCATAGGCTATCTTTGTCTATTGGCTGACTTCGAACGTCTTTACAGCTGGACAGATTACGTTTTTCAAGATCCCTGCAGTTCGTCGTTTCTTTAACATCCCTCAATTGATTAATCATCCTAAGCCTAAGAATCCAATTAAGCAGCCTGGGTTCATGGAGTCATTCAAAGCCTCATATGAGGGCGGGTTGGCTGCAAAGGAAAAAGAAATCGCGTTGGCCAAGGAACGAGAGAACAAACTGGCTGCTCAAAAACTAAGACGCCAAAACCGAAAGAGGATCTAAAAGATCTTTTTTTGTAAGATGATCGTTTTTTTTATTTTCTATCCAATTGACATTTATATATATATATAAAAAACACACAATACTAGATTTATTTGTTACCACCATCATTAACATCGTTTACCCATTATGTCAACGCTCATTATCATTCATATATTTTAATAAAAGCGAATGCGAATGCGTACATGTACAATTAATCAGTTGACAAAATAAATACAGTATCAATAAAGGGAGAGTTTATTGAGAACTGCTTGCATCATGAAGGATGCACGTGCGAAGTGTCGAAAAAGTCGCCAGCATAATTGTTATACATGTATATTCATAGACATGCATATTTATTACTTCGGTCATCGTCTGCACTTTGACAAATGTATATATATATATATATATATTTTTTTTTTAAAAAAAAAGGGTCAGCATCTTTCATAATGCCGTACTTCTCTTCCCTTTGCAATTTTTTCTTTATCCTTGTTTTTACGAAATAACAAAACCCACGTTGTTCGTGTTACTCTGCCCTGGATATATATTATATTTATACATGTACACATTCCAGTCTTTTTTTTTTTTTTTTTTTTTAAAAAAAAAAAAAAAAAAAAAAAAAAGAGCAATGGACTAAACTGAGCTAGTCAATTGTTGCTCATTCCCGCAATGGTTCTCAATAATATAACGTTAGTAGTGATAGTAGCAGTAGCCATGTGTGATATTTTTTTAAAAAAGAAAAGAGCTTTAGTTATGATGCAAAGCTTGGATACTTTGCTCACGGATATAACATGTCAAAATGAGGGTACGCATAAAAATATACACATTCATGTTCATGTTTATATAGTATATATATATATACATAGATATTTAATGACAGTTTGTTTCCGATTACTTTGGATCATCAAGTTTGACAAATCGCAATTATACCATCCTGTGTGGGCCCACCTTCCTCTACACCCCGATCCTTACTCTACACCCCAATTCTTCCTCTACACCCCCAAAGCCCTCCAAATCCCCCAAACCCAAACTTGGAATATATTTGCGAGTAGAAAAAAGCTCTCAACTCATCTCATTTATTTAAGATTTAGGACTGCATGTTGTGGGGAGTGAGCTGCAATTGTATCAACTAAGCAGCATGGCACAAATGGATAATATTGTTTATTGTATACAAGTATATACTTGAATGTAAATGGATTTTGGATGGTCAAACATCGTTCTCGAGATCTTGTTCATCAGTTCACAAAACACATTAAAAGCACACGTCTGTAATGTTCAATTGAACATGTTGCTACAGTCTAGCCCCTGTTTTTTTTTTTTTTTTTTTTTTTTTTTTTTTCTTTACAACTTGTCCAGTACCAGTCTTCTGAAGCAGTATCTTTTTGCTCATCTTCTTTCTTTTCACCTTCTTTTTCACACTTAACAGATTGGATTCTTTTTTTCTTTACTTGAGGAAAAAAAAAAAAAAAAAAAGATCTTAATTCGACAGCCTCATATGCAGGAAAAGATGATATTCTTTTGAATGAATGGAAGTGAATGTATTTTGGATATCTTTTTTAGTACATGGATTATGCCCTAGCCATTTGGCGTATTTGTATGAAAAGGAGAATCCATAAAACCATATCCTAAAGATCTCAAATCTTTCCATGTTTATATGCCCATGCAAGTAAAAAAAAAAAAAAAAAAAAAAAGAAAGAGACCACAAACCTATTCTCCCAAATAAACCAATTGCCCAGTTCCTAGGGATTTACGATCATAAACAGTCAATGCTAAAATGGCTGGCAACAATTCGTCCATGGATGAGCAACAATTTGAGCATCTTGTATATTCATGCACATTACACAACGTCTCCTTTTTGGCGTATATTTTAGTATATGTAAGATATGTATGAGAACAACGGAAAGTACCTTGCTGACATGATTGTGTCGTTAGCAATGGCAGCTCTGGATTGGGTAGACAAGCAGGGGGAAGGGAAGTAGGAGGAAAAGGCGTCCGTTGGACATGGAAAAGAGGCGATCGACAAGGCAGAAGCAGATCAACCGGTCATTCCTTGATGACCAATGATATATACTCTAAATCATTGTTGCCAGACAATCAAAAGTAAAAAAAAGAGCTGGACCCAACAACGGTTATTGTTAGTTTTGTGTTTGTGCTTGTGTTCATGTTTATAGTATAGTTTTAGCTTAGTTTTAATGTGCTGCATAATATATATATTTATTTTATTTTCCGGAAACGGACATTTATTCGTTAGAAAAAAAAAGTGTTTTATTACTGTTTTCTTCGTAGTTGTAAACGACCTTTTTTTTTTTTTTTTTTTTTCTTTCTTTTCTTCTCTCTTTCTCTTGCCCACGCGCCTCCTTCCCTCGCTGTCCGCACCTTCCATCTTTCTTTTTTGCTTCCTTTCTCTTTGCACGGGCTTCTTTGTTCCTTCGACAACCCTACTTTCTTTCCTTCTCCTCTCTCTTTTATTTACTCACACCACCCATTTTCTTCTCCATCCTCATCCTCTCCCCATCTTCTAACGTCCCATTCCATTCCTTATTTCGACTCCTTATTTCTCTTCCTCATACATTCCTTCATACATCATATTACTAGTATAGACATCTGGTTTCAGTTTCATCCTGCCTTCAACCAACCACAGCCGAGGACATACAATCATCATTTCAGGAACACCCAACCAGCGTTGTCCATTTTATTTTTCTCTGTCCATTTTTAACGTCAACCAGCATTAGCAAAGCAACTCGTTTATTGCCCCCCTTTGTCTCCCTCTCTCTTTCGCTCTCCCTCTTCAGCTCTTGTCCTGTCCATATACCCTCCCCTCATTATACTTTTCTTAATTTCCATCGCTAATATTTTTCTGGATTTATTTCACTTCAGAGCTGTGTTCTTTTAATTCTCTGGACGGCTTTATTAGTTGCCGGTTATAAATAATATCCTCAAACAGCTTCCGCTTGTTTTAATAATTGAGCACATCCATCAGCCATTCGCTCTGCTCCAACCATCTGGTGTCTTCTTTTTTGCTCACACCCTGTTCATAATTGCTCTCACTGCCCTCTCCCAGTTATCTTGGCTTTTTGCTCTTGTCTGGCTTTTACTGTTTCACCTCTCCTATTCCATTCACACCATTATCTGGTCTCCGGAAGAGAGTGAAAGTTACACAGAGTTTCCCACTGGGGCCTAATTATATATCTCAACAAAAAAGATGTTCTCACTCAAGAAGAAGAAGACCAAGGGCATTCAGGGTGGTGCATTCCCGGTATCAGAGCCACTCCCAACAGAAGAGCTAGTTGAACCACCATTTGAATACCTGGAGCAACATCATAAAAAAACTCTGCATAGCCAAGCACATATTCAGATGCCCTCCACCAATGTCACTCCTATAAGCGTTAGTATCCCTTCTAAAGGCAACACAAATTTGGGGAAAAGCAGCGCAAACTTGGCTAAAAGTGCAACAAATATTCACCTCAATGATCTCAGTCCACCTATGCATCAATTCGACTGTGCTCAAAGTGGTGATGAATCCGACAACTACCATAATCAGATGGAGCATTTGCGCTCTCAATTCTATACACCGGATCCCCAGAAACGAACAAAAGAGTACCATCTTGAGCAATCCACACAAGCAATAGAGCTTCTCAAAATGGCAGCCAAGCCGGATGGCTGGAAAAAAGTTGATAAGCACAAGTCTGGATGTGTTGTCTATCAGTCCACGAGTGCAGCAACGATACCGGGTCATGGTGAACACAAATATCCCGCCTTCAAAGGAGAACATGTCATCCGTGGATTCAAAGCTCAAGATATATTTTCAATTGTCAGTGTCAGAAAACTATGGGAGTAAGTAGATTCTAAACGCGCTCTGCATATAAAATTGATGTGATTGGTTCGGGAAACCAGTATACCAATGTTTATAATTCTAGTTTACTGATATATCTATTTATTACTATTGTTATTCTATTGTCATCTGCAGCGATTGGTATGATGAGCTTAGCTGTATAGATACGTATAACGATACGACAACGCTTATGTATATGGTCATGAAGGGCACACTATCTGCAAAGTAAGCTCATTTCTAGCTCTTTGGACTTTTGGTCTTTTGTGCTTTATTTTATTTGCATGCCTGTGTTAAATATTAACAATATTAACGTGTCGAATTTTTATTATTGTTTTCAGAACTCGTGATATCGCCATGGTAGAGCGGATAGAGTTTGCAAAGGATGGAACGATTTATGCTGCTTCCTGCTCTGTCGAGTCTTCAAAAATCCCAGCGGTGACAGGAAAAGTGAGGGCAATTATCTTTCTCGCTGGTTGGGTCATCCAGCCACTTCCTTCTAACCCTCCAATCACTAAGATCACATATGTGATCCAAACAGACTTGTTGAGCCGGCTTCCAAAGTTCATTGCGAAGCGTTCATTGATTAAGCGGGCTATGGCCATCACCACTGTTGAGACATACCTCAGGAAGAATGGCCCACCAACATTAACTGTTGCTGCGGCCGTTAAGACTGCGAATCGACACCGCAGCCTCAGCGAGCCGGTCAAAGTGGATCGTCTCCTTCTACCCCCAGACTCTGATGATGAAGAGCAAAATGATTCATTCCTTGAACCTATCAAGGCTAGACGCGAGCTACGCTTCATGGATGAAAGTGGAGACTCAACCATTGAGGAGCCGGTTGTAAAAAGACGTGTGAAACAGAATGGTCCAGGAGCAGCAAGATCACCAACAACACGTAATTCGTTAATGGTTCCAAACTCTACTTTCGGTCAGGAGTACACGGGAAGCAATTCTTTCATGAGCGATTCTGACCTCTTTAGAGATTCTTCGGCATTTGGAAAAAGCGGCATCATTGAGGGCACTCATAAGAAGAAGGAGGAGCCACCAGCTTTGCCCACGACACCTCGTCCCCAGCCAATGCACTCAAAGAAGCTGGGTTCACGAGAGAAGTTGCCTGAGAGACTGCAGGAGAAATCTCGCCCCCCGCTGAACCTAGCCAAGACCACTGCTTCAGAGACAACCGATAGCCGTAGAGCTACGGCTTCGAAGCGCATCTCAATTCCTGTTGTGGCTCCAAAGTCCGAGGCAAGGATGAAAGCATATTCTGGAAACAATCACAGTAACAGCACTAACCAACTTGCGGTCCCAGAGTCAGGATCAATCGGACTGATCACACCGAATACTCCGCCACTGACCCCCCCTGCGTCTGTCGACGGCAAGGACGGCTCCTCGGACTCTGACACTGCACAGCCATCCCCTGAAGTTAAGGTTGTGCTTCGGGCACCTAAGAACACACCCCATCCTGTTGACACATCAAGGCCCAATTCGTTGGCTATGGCCTCTTTGGCAATGAAATCTCCCTCTGCCATGATGGAAGCCACAACGCGCCGCCATAGTACGCTGTTGAGCCGCCCTTCAGCATTTGTACCCCGACATAGCAATGCAATGCCTATTCGCGGTAATCCTAATGTCTCTTTGCAATCCTTGTGCCGTCCATCCGGGGCTAGCGGCTCCATGCCAACAGCCCTGAAGCGTCACTCCACCGCTCCAAGTCTCGACTCGAATCGCTCTTTCGTCACATACACACCTGTGATGGTCTTGCCTCACCGACACTCCGAAACTGCCCGAAAGGCTCTTGCCATGTTTAAAGTCTTAGCCTCAAGTCCTGAAGATCGTTGGCGAGCCATTTCGAGTGAGAACGGCTTCAAAAGTTATTCCAGAATCATTTCTGGAGCTGGCTTGCCCATGCTTCGAGGGGAAGGTACCATCACTGGTGGTTGGACTGTTGAGCAGATCAACGCTGTGATTGAGTCTGCAGGCTGCAGGCAAGTCTGGGATGAGCGATTCGAAAACATGTCGATTGCAGAGACATTTAACCATAATGAATACCTATTCCATATCACTCTTCGGGGTATTGGCTCCTTGACGTAAGTTCTTTAACCAAATCTTAGTTGGCTTTCAAGCATCTCATTTCGACATGTTCATGAGTTCTTGCTCCCTTCCCACTGTTTCTATTTACTGGAGCACTAATCAAATGATGACCTAACCTTGTTATCCATGCAACCAATACAAATAATAGTGGCCGTGATCTAGCCGGGGTGACCATCATTGACAGAGATCCTCAGACATGCGCTCTTTACAATGTCTCGACATCAGTTCTCGATCCAACTATCCCAGAGGACCCCGGGCGTATTCGTGCTATGCTTGAGCTTTCGGGCTGGTCTCTACGCCCTACGTTCGATGGCCAAGGGAATACAGTGTCTGTGAATGTTACATTTGTCATC